CAATATCATGACAACATAGAGGACACCAACATATCACAGAACATACCCGAGCAGAACATGACATAACAAAGTTGTTGTGTCTTTTCGTGCACGTGCCGCAACGGTCTGGACAGTCACGACGAAGACGAGAGGAGGGGAGGTCTGATACAAAAGCCTCGAGGGCCACAATGACGGAGAGTGGGGGCAGGGAGTGGCTAAGGATAGAACAGGGGGGCGAAGGATAAATGGGGGAGGGGAACGCGAGCGGCGCACCGAGGAGCAGAAGCGGAGAGAAAGGAAGTTCTCCGGTTGATCATGCCAACAGAAGGGCGAGGTTGCTGACTGTATCATTCAAGGCTCTGACTTTGCACACACAACCCATGCCAAAATCTTGTCTAGGCACTGAATGGAGCGTGCTTGGGTCGTTTCGAGTCCACTGTGCTGGATCACCTGTGCCGTACAATCCTCAGTGTCGGGCACTCGAAAATTCTAGATACTTTCAGAAGGGCCCATGTCCCCAATTGCAAGGAATTCCCGGGTTTTTTGGCATGAGTTCTAGGGATCGCCGCGAGACTTTCCCCGAGGGCGAAGTCCGTCGACCCTGCCGGCCTGTGAGGGGGAGTCCTGAGGTGGACGGCCAGGAGTGGGCCTAGGAGACGCCTTTCCAATCGAAGTCCCCTGGGCCGCCCCGAGAGGCCACACTCGGCTGAACCTCCAGAACTTTGTGCGGTTTCAGCACCACCGCCGCATCGGTCGCAAGAGCGCCCGACGCGGCCCACGAGCCGCCGAAGAGCACACCAAAATGGCCCACGAGGCTGCCACAAGGGCCCGAGAGGCCCACGAGACTGCCTCGAGAGGACCCCAAAAGATAGCCACCGTCACGCCGCTGGCAACCACTCACCAGGCAGGACCCCGAGACCCACGGGGGGCCCGCCACAGGGCCCCCGGAAGCCCGCAGGCGCGCCCGAGGGGGGCACACGGGCTCCCGGGAAGCCCGCAGGGAGCCCCCCAAGATGCCCCAACAAATTCTTTGGAGTCCCAAAACGGTGGGGTGACAGACCGTGCGGTGACCTCGAAATCCCCAAAGACCTCACCGCACGGTCCGTCACCGCACGATTTTGGGACCCTGGAGGCCCCTATCGCCCGAGACGTCCTCGGAGAGGGACTCGAGTCCCAAAACCGTGCGGTGACCCCGAATCCCCACCGACTCACCGCACGGTGTGGTCACCACACCGTTTGGGGGCCCTCGAGATTCCCAGGACGCCCATCAGATGTTCACCCTCGCCCCAGAGCTCCGGGGCGCGCAAGCATGGGTCCGCGATCCATGGATTTGGCGCGCGGTCGCCACATCCATGGATCGGGGGAGGTGCCCTCCACACAGTGCGGCCGGTGCCGCCTCGCTCGGCGGCAATCGTCCGCAACTTCCCATGGAAACGGGACCCGTCTCTAATCCACGCACCCTTGATCCACGTTTGCGATCGCCTGAAAAGCCACCACTGTCCCCTGCCCCCCGCGCCCGAAGGGCTCGCTGCTCAGTGTCGGAGGAGACGGTCACGGGACTTTCGCAATGATTGGAACACATGACTCACGGAATCGCGCGCGCAATCGCAGGCCAAGCTGGCAGTACGCATCTCCCTCGCATGGCGCTGTTGGTCGATATTGGGCGCTATTTGAGCGCTCGTCAGTGCTACCGAGCGCCGATGGCGCTATTGAAGACTACTAGGCGCTATTCACTGATAAGACAAGCGGAAGCTTGCGTGACTTCCTATCTAATATCACCTCCCTCCTCCTTGAGCAATAGAGGCGTCATCCAAGGGGTCAGAGTAGATTGGGTCAGGGGATCGCGTCGCATCGTCGATACATCGGCGATGCATCGGCGATGCATCGGCGATGCATCGGCGATGCATCGGCGATGCACCAGCGAAGCATCGTCGACGTCGACGATGCATCGGCGACGTCCGCGTGAAGTGAATCGGGCTCCACATCGAGCCGCATCGGCGATGCATCGGCAAAGCAATGCGGCGCGATCCTCCGACCCCATCTACTCCGACCGCATCCAGGAATTGAAGTCTAGAACTGTCCAACATCACCTCCCTCATCCTCGAGCAAGCCACGCCAAGACTAATCGCGGAGACACAAGCGGCGGCCCCACAGCGAGAGCTGGGCGCGACAGTGCCACGTCGGCTCTGGGCCCCACCACGCCGCACGGGCACGGGCGGAAAAAAAGCGAAGAGAGAAGTCCATCAGGGCAGACAGGACCACCGGGACAGTGACATTCGAGGACGCTCGATCTCCACCCCCTATCTTCCTCCTCCTCCGCCTCCCCGTCGAGCCCTCCCCTCCTCGCACTCCCCCTCGATTGTCGACCTCCTCTTCGCTCTCCTCCTCCCCCGCGTGTGAGCACTACTACTGTATCTCTTCCCCGAAGATGGCCTGGGAGTCCCCCGCCTCCCTCCGCGTATTGAGTTTTACACCGGATCTCATTGCGCGGTCTGTCCTATGCGTTTGCCCATCGGAGCGCTTCGGTCTCGGAGTGGTGCTGCCGCTGCAGCGTTGGCACATTTTGGGATCGGCGCTTCGCTCCCATCGTTCAGAACGGAACTTTCACCCCAAAGCGGGCAACTTCTCTGGATCCGAGTCATTCCTTATCGTTGTCGTCACCCTCGTTTCCCCTCCTCCGCCACTCCAAAGTCATCCCGCTCTTGACGATCCTTCCACTCCAACTCCCGCTGCTGCTGTTCGTCCTCGACCTCCTCCTCCTCCTCCTTCCTCAAACTCCTCCTCCTCCTCCTCCTCCTCCTCCTGCTCATCCTCCAGATCCTCCTCCATATCCTCCTCCTTCCTCCTCCTCCTCCTACTCCTCCTCCTCCGTCTCCCTCTCCTCCTGTGTACGCAACTCCCCTTTGCCAATTGCGCATAACACGATGGGGTGAATTTAAGAAATCCAGGTCCACTACGACACGCGTCCGCGAGTAGAGAACAATCATCGCGATGGGAACGGATGGATAGGAGGGATAGGATGTCAGACATGGCGCGAGTGCACCCTCCCCCCCGAAGCTTCAATATCCTCGCCCTCCTCCTCTTCCTCCCCCTCCCCTTCCACGATCCACCTCCTCCACCCTCCCTCCTCCCTTCGATGTCCTCAGTCTCCTCCGTCTCCTTCCCATTTTCCCATATCACCCCCTTCCTCTTCCCCGCTCGATCGTAGATCTCCTCCTCTCCCTCCCCCGCCTCCTCTCCCCTTCCCCATCCCCCCCTCCCCCGCCCCGTCTCCCCTCCCCCGCCTGATCCCTCCTCTCCCCCCTCCCCACGTCCCCACCCCTCCTCCAATCCCGCCTCGATCGAAGACCTCCCCCCCCTCCCCCAGGGGGGCGGTACTGCCACATGCCTGTGGGATGGCTGCCCTGTTGCTAAAGTTCCGTCTGCGCCAGCGCCCGCCCCTTGTCGGCGTGCAGTCATCCCCTGACAGGCTCGTTCTGGGGACGTTTCCGGAGACACTTGCTCCCCTCGTGCTCGATGATGCGTCGAACGTCAGTCGACATGAGTCGAATTTAGTCGAGCTACTCCACATCCCTTCTTGACCCCCCCTAAATACCGGCGCCCCCTGCTCCGGCACACTAATACTCCGGCCCCCTCCACGGGAGGCGCCTTAAGATTCCGGACCCCCCTCTGGGAAAGTTGAGCGTTGTAATTAAGCTGGTGGACGTGATGGGGCTGTAGTTACACAATGGTGACTGCGACGTCGACAACAATTATGATCAATACGATGAGCACCGTGCTCGTGCATGTGATGCTGTGGTGCAGGCGCCATATCTATACATATATACGCCGCACACACACACACGTACATATATTCATGTCTATATATACAAACATGTATATTGTGGCTGCGATTGCGGTTAATTTCAAACCTCTTGCCCAAAATGGCCATTCAAAAAGCGCCATACTTCTCCGGCCCCCCTTCGCTTCGGTCACGCGAAACCGCCTTAATATTCCGGCCCCCCCCCGTTTTGCAAAAAGGCGCCCTCATACACCGGCCCCGGGGGCCGCTTAATAAGTGATGTGGAGTACGGTCGAGCTAGAGACGACCTACGGATCGAACTAGAGTGGAACAGATCAGATGAATTACCCCAGGAAGGTTCCCTGCACAAACATCTAACTCCCCCATCCTCGAGGTGCTCAGTGTAAGCCACGTGCAGGACATGCAAGCAGAGCAACCCCGGAATGACCAATGTCAACCAACAAGGCCCTGCCGCACCCACTTTCCTGTCCGAGGCGTGACATCACGACCATCCCGCGGTGGCAGGACATAGGAACCTTGAGGGAGCAAGCGTATGCACTCACACAACATGCACCGCCCGTGCCTTCTGCAGGTGGGCATGCTGCCCGATAACTCCCAGTGAATCGCCATCGTGCGAGTGTGACGGCTCGAACGATGACGCGAACGAAGGCATGCCACAGTGATGCGGCGCAGTCGATGAGCTCCAGAAGCAAAAAGGACCTGCAGCTGTCGACACCGCGTGGCCTCACAGAGAGAGAATTGAGCCACGTGTGGAGGGGCGGCATCCCACCCTGCGGGACGGGAAAATGACCACAGCCACTGCTTCTTGTTTGCGCCGCCTTCCAGCCGGCCGAAAAAGAAGCAGTGGTTGTGGTCGTTTCCCTGGTGCCAAGCTCAACGAAAATGACCACAACCACTGCTTTGTTTCTGCTGGCTGGAAGGCGGCAACAAAAGAAAAGCAGTGGCTGTGGTCGTTTTCACGTCCCGTACACCCCTTCTCTCTGTGGTCCCCCTCACTGCCCCCCATTTTCGTCTCGACCCCCCGGGGACGAGCAGGCGAAGCAGTGCGCGGCAGAGACCTCGCAGAGAAAAGCACGAAGACGCACACAACCGTGCGAGCAGACAACAAGACCATCCCGCCGGGAGCCCGCCTGCACCGCGGAGGGATGCCTGTGACCATCCCTGCCAGACCTGGCCCGACCATGAGAAGGAGGAGGAGGAGGAGGAGGAGGAGGACCATGAGGAGGAGGAGGAGAAGGAGGAGGAGGAGGAGGAGGGCAGACCTGTGACCATGCCTGCCATCACTTCATGACTGCACTGCGGGAGGCGCCTGCCCGCGCGCGCCCGGCCCGGAGAGCGCACGCCGGCCCCCGAGACACCCCGCCGAAGCAGACGCTCGGGCGGCTGCAGCGTGCAGAAGCCTGCAGCACAGCGCGGGCAGCACGGGCCCATTTCGGAAGCCGGGCCAGGGCTGCTGAGCCCGTGGCTGCTAGAATCGACCTCCGGGAAGTCGTCTTCGTCCTTCCGGGGAGTAGCCCCTTGACCGCTGCGCGTGCCGCGCCTCATTCTGGGAAGTGGCTTGTTCCTTCGGGGAGGGCCGTTTTAGCAGCCACGGTGTTAGCAGCCCTTGCCCAGCTTTTGACGATTGAGGCCGCCGTGAGGCGGCCGCAAGCACGGCACCGCGGACAAGTCGGAACCGCAAGAGGGCCCGGATCGTAGGCGCCTCCTGGATGGGGGTCCGAGCAGGTGGGGTCGGAAGAGCGCGTCGCATCGCCGATGCATCGGCGCCTTCGGTGTGGAGTGCGTCGGGCTCCACACCGAGCCGCATCGGCAATGCATCGACGATGCAGCGCGGTTCCCGACCCCATCTCCTCTGACCCGAAGTGGGGGGCCTGAAAAGCAGCTCGCGGCCTATTGAGGCCGGAGGCTGTCAGCACGGTGGCCGACTGCGAGTCCGGTGCGAAAGCCACTTTGCCAAAAGCTACAGCGACCACGAGCTCTCTGCATTCTAGATGAGCAAGCGCCCAAGGCCCCGAAGACCGATCCGCCCTTACGGTAGCGGGGCTGCTATCCGCCTGCCTCCTGATCGGGGATCTCCTGACCCGGGTCAGTGCAAAACCCCGGTCAGTCAGGCTCTGCAGGCTCCTTCAAAACTCCTGCAGGATCCTGCAAGAATCCTGCGCGCTGACCCTGGTCAATGCGCCCCTGGCTCCGAAGGCTCCTTCAAGATCCGGCGCTCTGGCTGACCCCCGTTTGCACTGACACCTGTCTCTTGAGCCCCGACCTGGTGGGCCACCACGCGTGTCGGCATGCCCGCCTCCCATCGGCCCAAGGCCCCCTTTCTCACCCCCGCCGTCGTCGTCGTCGTCGTCGTCGTCGTCGTCGTCGTCTGCCGCCCGCCCGCCCGTCCGCCCGCCCGCCTCCCCTCGAGGGGAAACGACAGGGGGGGGGGGGACGGGCTCGGGGGGGGGACACCGAGCGACCTGGAATCGGCGATGGATCTGCGATAACCTCTTCATGGCGAACCCGCAGGCTCCTGGGCGGGGTGGGCCACCGGGCCCCCCGACGGCGATGGGTCTTCGAGTTGGGGAGCGATGCATCGAGACCGTCCCCCCCTTCACGTGGCCCTTGAGGACGCCCCAGGGCTTCCGTGGTCTCCGGGCGAACATCGGGGGGCAAGAAAGACGGCCAACCCGCATCACAACGCTGCGCAGCGAGGATGCAGAGGCCTTTGGAGGCCATGTCGGAGGAGGAGGAGGAGAAGGAGGAGGAGGAAGAGGAGGAGGAGTGGGAGGGGGATCAGGAGTCAGGGCTGGATGCCTCGACCTCTCCTGGGGTGCACCCCGACCAGACAGCTGAGGCAGACCCGGCCGCGGCCACGGCGGGGCCCGAACCCCCGCCCCCCCGGACACGATCCCCCCCGATTACCGGCCTCGAACGTATCCCTATCCCTAAGATTGTCGGGTCGGGCGAAAGGGGGGGATAGCAAAGGGGGGGTTTGAGAATCAGCTCACGTAGCTGATTTTCCCAGCGCCTCCCGGCGCCGGAGGCGGCGATGTATCGAGGAATGGGCCCCTCGGTGAGGCCGAAACCAGCTGCATGCAGCAAATTTCGTAACCCCCCCTTTCCCAATCCCCCCCTTTCGCCCGGCCCGAGTATCCCTATCCCTAAGATTGACACGCCAAAAGGCGATGACAATCTTAATATTAAGGGATTCGCCCTCAAACAAAAAGGGAATTCCTAAGATTGGCATCGTGATGAGGAGGTGCCCAGGCTGGCAACCTGGCACTGCCCCAGAGGCCCACCCTCTGGGTGCCTCCAATGCAGCAGTACATTCGCGACCCGGAATGTGGGGCACGCTCTATGTGTACTGCAGCTCCACAGATTTATTGCACGTTGCCCCTGAAGCCCCCCCCCGACCTCCACCCCTTGGGGGACACCAAACGGTCCCGATTCCGCCGCTCTCTGGACCTCTACTCGGGTGCGTTCTGGCAAGGATCTCGAGGCGGATCCCGCGGTGGCGACGAGGGCCTCCCAGGAGGCCCTAAAAGACGAAAACGAGGCGGGGGTAGCAGTAGGGGTACCCCTTCCTCCTTGGACCCCTGGGCCACCCGAGCTCTCTGCGCAGCCCGCCCCCCGCGACGGCGTGGCGCGCTGGCCACTCTCACGCCGGCCGCGCTCTCAGGGCGCGCAACCCCCGCGCGGGGCGGGCCCCGCGGCGCACGGAGTCCATGCGAGCGCCGCCCCCGGGCCGGGGCGCGCGTTCGCATGGACTCAAGGCGCCCAGGGACACACAAATCAATACACACGAACACCAGGATTCCTGATGTTTGTCCATGCTTCTTGGGCGCTCGTCTCCCCCTCCACGTCCCAGCTTTTCCTGTTTCTTCCGGGGGATCGACGATGCTTTGCGCCTGTGTGTTCGTCCCTCCTGATGGACTGCGGACCCACGGATCCGGCGCGCGGGCGCCAGGAACCGCGGATCGGTAAGCATGAGGAGGCACGGTCCCGGGGAAGCTGGAGGGCAACTCGTGGGAGGCCTTCGTGAGAACGGTCGCAGGATGTTCGACTGGCTTCGGGGGGCCATTCAGCCGGGCCCAAATAATTACAAAGTTCAGGTGGATTGAACCGGATTGCAAGGAATTGAGCGGGACAGTGTTGGGTTAATCCTGTGCTCGACCACGGATACAGAGGCGCCGATGCTGAATCGAATCTTCCAGTAGTTGCATCCTCAAGCACCCTCCGAAACATGAAATCATCTACGCATGATCTGGCGTCGGAGCACGCCGATGTTGTACGGAAGCGGGACCCGTCGCTCGCTAGTACACGCGCGCTGCTACATGATGGGGGCGACCGGCGGTTCTGAACTGGAAGGAACCCCAGAAAATCAGCCACGAGGGAGAAATAAAGACAAATCGATTCAAAATACGTCCCAGGCCCTTCCCGTGGTCCAACTGGTGGAGTTTTCACAATCCTGGGAACCGAAAGCTGTCCCCGGAAGCCGAACAAGGCAGAAACGGGCTGGGCCACTTCAGTTCCCGAGGCGGCTCCAAAGTACATGCCTGCGCTGCCTTGGATGGGAGATGGCCTGACACCCTGGTCCTCCAAGGGAAAAAACTAAAAGGTCTGGGGCGTACTGACCCTGGCCAATGTAAACCCAGGCAACTCGGGCTTTGCAGGATGATGCAGGATCCTGCACGCTAGCCTGGTTCATAGCAGCCCTGGCTCTGCAGGATCCTGCAAGTTCCGGCGATGTGCCTCACCCCCGTCCGAACTGAAATGGGCGTGCGGAGCTAGGCTGGAAGGCACGGCGAATCTACCTGCGACCTAAAACTACTACTTCCTTTTGCCACAAGACCGCACGCGTTCGCGGCGGAGGCAAGCGGCGGGAAGTGCGGGCGGGCGCAAAACCTCCGACGTCGTGAATTGGTGTTTGGCGGCGCCTTCTAATAAGCAGCCTCCTTCTAAGATTCCCCCCCCCATACCTCGCTCTGCGCATGGACGAGTTGTCAGAAGGTGGGCCCCCAGAGGTCCCTCGACTCAGTACCCAAAGGCAAAATTAGCATCCCGAGTCGTCTGATTTGGGCCTCCAAAGGCCCAGAAATTCTTAACAACAGTGAGCCTCCAACGAAATAAATAATGAATAAGGACTCGTGGCCCATGTGGTACCACAAAATGATGTTTCAACTGGTAGAACAATACTCGCATGGCCCTGGCAAAAATTGCGAAGGCCGTTCAGAAACTGGGCGGCGCTGAAGCCTCTTTTACGGGCGGCGGAGACGGGGACCATAAATAGCGCAGGGGCCCGACCCAATCCTTGGAACATGATGCACCAAAGCGCGGTGGATGGGTTGTTCAGTCGGCCGAGTGCTGGCGCCCGAATGGGCAAAGGCATTGGGCACATAGCCAGACAACACATTCGTTTTGGCACACGGGGGCGTATCCTCAAAAGGTCCTACGAGAAATGCGACGGCGGTAAGAAGGGGGAAAGGCGTCGATGCCTCTCTTAGGGTTGGCGAAAATGGGGATCTTGCAGCACAGGGGCCAGAGCCACTCCCAAGGACTTGCTGCCCCAGGGCGTCGTGAATGGGATGTTAAAAATCTGCCGAACGCCTGAGCCCAAATGACCACAGGCATCGGGGCTCGAATGCACATTCGTGTTGGCGCACGGGGGCGAACCCTCGAATGGTCTGACAAGCGGTGCCACGGCGGCAAAACGTGGGAAGACGTCAGTGCCTCTTGCGCGGGCGGCGGGGACGGATGCGAGACCGCGAGCACGTCCATTTCGACAGCTGCCTGCCGCTTAAGCGCTCGCCCTGCATTGCTGCGTCGGAGAGGTCGGCGACGTCGGATTTGGCAAGGCCCACCTCGCCCAGGCGCGCGGGCACGTCGAGGCCGCGCGCGACAGACGCAACCCCTGTTCGCCGCTGGTGCCCCGCGAGAAGGATCACCTTCAACTTCAGCAGCGCCCTACGTCCTGCCCCCTTCGCCCTGGGGGTCGTCTGGCTCGCGCCCCGTTTCTTCGCGCCCTCCTCGTCGGAGGTCGCCCCCGCCTGAAGTGCGCGGACCGGGGCGCGTCTCGCTCCTTGACACCGCGCGCCCATGTCAGGATGACTTTGCGGGGCGGGCGCCCGCCACAGGGGATCGCGTGGCGCCTTTCCCTCGCCGGCGACGTCCTCGGCCAACGGCCTCTAGACCTCCCGTCGGCGCGCCGGCGCGGCTCACCTCTCCAGCGGTCGCACGCGGGGCTCCGCTGGTGCCGCGGTCTGCTCTCGCGGGGAGCCCTGGCGCGATGGCGTGGCCACCCGGGGCCGCCAGGCCAAATTCCACCTGGCACTGCGCCGCCGTCGTCGCCCCGGCGTCAGCGCCGTTCGCCGCGCCTGCCCAGCGGCATCGGCGCGCCCACGGGCCATCGGGAACCCTGGATCGGCAGCGCCGCCGCGGCAAGCCCCGAGACGGCCCCGCCCGCGCGTCTGCCCCGCGAGCTGGCCCCCTGGCCAAGCGCGAAGCGGGGCGAGCACGCGCGATGAGAACGGCGCACTTCTCCGGGCCACACGCGGCCATCTTGGGGCCGTATCTGGAGCAAACCTTCTTGCGAGGCGTCTGCGAGGCAGCTCGCTTCCTGGTCGGGCGCCCGGCCGCCTCCTCTGCGCGACCCGCCTTTGCGCGCCTGGTTCGGTGGGCTGAGCTCCCGCTGCCGCGGCTGCCGAAGCGACCGCTGATGCCGGCGGCGAGACGCTCTAGGCTGGCGTGGGCCAGCGGCGCCGGGAAAGCGCGCTGCTGGACCGACGAGTCGCTCGTCGCCCCCCCGAGCGCCGCGTGGAATTGCACGCGCGCGCGGCCGCGCCGCCACGCGCGATTCTTGCCGCGAGGTTCCAGACGTGCCCCCCTATAGCACGTAGACCAGGCGCGCCCCTGGCTCCGCCGCGCGCCCCCGCCTGGAAACTCGCGCCTGCCCACGTAGAACTGACCGAGCATGAACACGCCCGTGCCCGGAAGCACCGAACACTTTGGGTTTCTGCGGGGACTCGACCTTGACGGCCGCAGACCTTCTGGACTGCATTGCCCCTGACGTTGGCCAAACCAAAGCCAGGAGGTCGGGGCCCTCGCCCTCCTCGGCGGAGCGGGCCGCAGCGAGCGCCTCCGCCCTGGCGTCGTTCCGCTCGATCTCTACCCGCCCGATCTCGAGGCGGCGCTTTGCTGGCGCCAGGCCCGCCTCGAGCTCGCAAAATCACTTGATTTTCGGTGACGCTCAGTGGCTCGACTCCCCGGCAGGCGTTGGCCTCGCCCGCCATCTTCTGCCGCCGCTCGGTTCGACTGCGCGCCGCCTGCTGCGCGCGTGCCAGCGCAGCCACCTTCGCGCGAGGCTCTGCCCCGGCCTCAACGCCGTGCTCGAGCGCGTCCTCGGCGAACGCCCTGGCGCCGTCGCCCGGGTTCGCCAGGGCGGCGAACTGCCCCGCGCTCGCCACCCCGTCGGAGCTCCGCATCGCAGCGCCTGCAAGTGAGGCGGCACGTCCCTCATCGCGAAGAGATGCGCAGGTCCGAGCTCGGCAGCGCGAGCGAACTGCACTGCTCATCCTGCGTGAATCTCCCCGGCGGCATGCCGTCGAAACGCCCCGCGCCTGGTCGCGCGGGCGGGGCTGAGGGCCAACTGGCGCAACGCCGGCATCCGCGCAAACCGCTCGAGCAAAGAAGTTGCGGACCGAGCAACGGCGCCCCCCGGCCCGGCGAGGCGACGGCGACGCGCAGCGCGGCCTCGAAGCCCTGCCCGCCTCACCGAGGGCTTTTTTTCCAACGTGGCGGCATCCGCCCCCGACGGGCCCCGCCCTCGCCCGCGGCGGGCGGGGGGCCCGCGGGCGGGGCGGGCGTCGGCGACGTGGGCGGGCGCTCACCCGTCGACGAAGATCGGGGCCATCCCGCGGGCGGGCGGGGAGGTCTTCGCATGGGCGCGACCCGCCTTTGCCGAGTCTGGACTGGCCGTAGACATTCATGGCGCGGGCGGGGCCCCTGGGCCGCGCAGCGGCTGGTGCCCCGTCGCCGCGCGGCCAGTTCGGAGCACCTCTTCCCTCCCCCGCTGCCGATGCCTCTGCGTGCCCGGCGGGCTGGCGGACGAGCTCCTGCCCCGCGCCGCCGCGCCTCGGTAGGACGCAGCCCCTCTCGAAATTTGGAGTCCTGCCACAGATCGAAGCCCGTGTGGAACTGTAAGTATCACTCGCGGGATAATACGAGCGCCCCAACGTGGTCGTCAGCCAGCACCGCACGCCACCCTGCGCCAACGCGCGGCGAGGCCGTCGTCCATGACCATCCGCTCCAAGGCCCCGGTGAACGCGCTGGGGAATCGTGCAGCTCTCGACGTCGGTTCCCTGCCCGCGCCAAGGGGCGCCTCGACGTTGGCGACGACCTGGTGCGCCCCTGACGAACGGAAAATCGGTCACTCGGCTCAACAACTGCCGCCCTCTCCGTCCACACCATGGCGCGCATGGTCTGATTTGGGCACCGACGACCCACACGGCTCGGCCGCCAAGGCATGGACAACGTAGTCGATGAAATTGCAAATCGGCGCTGGCCGCGGGACCCCGCGCGCGCAAGAGCCAGTTGCGCATCGTTTCCATGTCCTGCACGTGCGACCTCATCGTGTTGATGCGTGTGCGGCCCGTGGTGCCGTCCGTCGCCCGTTCCTGGTTAGTGCAACCCTGCGCCGACTCGGGAGAAGGCGTTTCCATCTCCTCGAGCAGCGCGATCAGGTGGGGCCTCCACCGAACCTTTTCTTGCATCTCCAATCCGCGACGGCTCTCCCTAGCAGCCGCGCAGCACCTCCGCGCGAAGCGGGTCCCCGCCACCGCACAGGCCCCCGGCGGCGGTGGGGCCTCGGACAAGCCTCGACCATCCGTCAGCCGGAGGCATGCCGGACCGTCCGCCAGCATGGCTCCCTCGGGGAAGCCGTGGCACGCCCTCTGGCGCTTCTGCAGGGGAACCACCGCCTGGTCCACGAGCTCCTTCACCGGCTGCCGCGCAACCTTACCTCTGAGGTCCGCGACTGTTGCCTCTTGCACGAGGAGTTCCCTATGATTAGGCCTCCTCCGCCTGCAGCGCGAGACGCGGGCCGAGGATACCGAACTCCTGTAGCACCCTGCTGGCCTCCTCGTGGCGTCGAGGGTGCGCGGTTCCAGGGCCAGCATCTGCGCCCAACCATTATTCGAAATCGGCTGGACGCCCGAGCCCAAATCGCCACAGGCATCAGGCAGAGTGGCAGGATACACCTTCGTGTTGGCACACGGGGGCAAGCCTATGAAATATCAGCCAGCATTGACTCCAAATAGATTGGACGACTCAAAGCAAGGAATCCGAGAAATGAAGCATTTTTGGAACCCGCTACTCGGCAAGCAAGCAAGCGTGCAAACATGCGCGCAAGCAAACGCGCAAGCAAGCAAGCAAGCAAGCAAGCAAGCAAGCAGGCATAGTCATAGGCGTATGCATCGGAGTTCGAGGGAGGCATAGGCATGGGCATGGGCATAGCCATACGAGGTCGGGGGGGGCATAGGAATTAGGAGGGGCTACGGACCAATCAGTAGGGTTTGAGCTAGGACTCCTATAGGGCAAGCCTGTTTGGAGGATAAGAAGCGTGCTTTTTCACGACGCGAGGAGGCTCTGAAAAAGGGTGAACACGCTCGGAGGGATACCCATCCTCGACGTCTCACGTGCCGAAGCCCTGCCTGTCGATGCAGGCGTTGTACTCGCCGACCGTCTTGAAGGGGTGCATGGCCACGAACCAACCTCCCATACATAGGGGGCAAACAAACCTACCTCGCTTCTGACCACCCTCGCTTCCAAGAGATACCAAGCGACGCCAAGCTACGGCCTGTACTGGTCAGGCCGCTTGACGGGGAGGCGCGTGGTATGACTTGGTTTTGCCTGGAAGCGAAAGCGGGGGATGTAATTCGCGCTCTGAGTACATACACACACATAGCCGAGCATACAAACGGACGCGTGGGCACGATTGGCCGCAGCATTAGAGACAATCTGATTGTTCCTCGGCGATGGCCCGAACTGCCCGCTGGGGAAAGGGGGGGGGGCGGGGGGGCCAGCCGATAGCCTGCATCGTTCGCTGTGGGCAGCCCAACGCATGCCCGCGCGCACCTGTAGGGCATACTTGGGGTCCCAAAACGGTGTGGTGACAGACCGTGCGGTGACCTCGGAACCCCAAGAGACCTCACCGCACGGTCCGTCACCACACGGTTTTGGGACCCTGGAGGCTCCAGTCGCCCGAGACGTCCTCGGAGAACGACCCGAAGCCCAAAACCGTGCGGTGACCCCAAATCCCCACCGACTCACCACACGGCGTGGTCACCACCCCGTTTGGGGGCCCCCGACATACCCCGCACAACCGACAAAGCCAGATCACCCGGGGGGAGAGAGGGAGCGGGCGGGCGGGCCCTACACTCCGGGTTCTCGCTGGACCCTCTCAAGAACGGTCTCTTGGCATCCCATGAAAGGAGAGGCGGAAGAGGAGGAGGAGGAGGAGGTGGAGGAGGAGGAGATGGAGGAGGGAAAATACCACAAACGCTTCAGACCAGCCGGGTTCTCCGAGGTACTGCGTCATCTGATACACCTTCCCACGTCAGCTGCTGTCGAGGCCCTCCGCGAAGCAACCTCCCAATGGCCACCCAAAAGCGCTGGTGTGGTTGTCCGAGGGAACTCTGGGTCTCGGAGGACCGAAAACTTCCATAATCTTAGGTCGGGCATGTCCCCCTACAAGCTCATCTTGGACGAATCATAAAACATAGTCACAAAATGCCCAAACATGGTTAACAAGAATCAGTCATTTGTTCCCAGACTGCTTGTTTACTATTTCTGGATATGCCTCCTGTAGAGGGACACGCCCGATTTAACCATAACCACGACTTGCCGGAGCTCCGCGCGGACTTCTCGGATCGGCGGTGGGCCCGCCCCGGCGGCGCCTCGGGCAGCGCCCCCGGCCCGCCCCGCGCGAGCCACGGAGGGGGATCCAGCGCCGGGGACTGCGCGGGCCTGAGAGACCTGGTGCTTGTGCTGTGAAGTCTTCCACTGGCGACCGGCCCATACAGTCGGGGCGTTGACCTAAGGAACCCTAAATAAGGAACTAGGCCCCTTTTTTCCATAAGTTAGCCTTCGATTTCCTGTCGAAGACATAAGGAAAGCCTAAGGCAAGCTGTGAAACACTGTAAGGAGCGCGGAGCCCCTCCCCAACGAAAAGGGTTCCTTCTTCAGGGCCCCGACTGTACACGCAGGGGCGGCCGTCGCTTCGCCAGCCCCAGCGGGCCAACTGCGTGCTGGAAGCGGATAGGAGGAGGCCGAGCAGATTTCACAGCTGGAGCGCATCTTCCTCCTCCTCCTCCTCCTCCTCCTCCTCCTCCTCCTCCTCCTCCTCCTCCTCCTCCTCCTGCTCCTCCCCCCTCCTCCTCCTCCTCCTCCTCCCTCCTCCTCCTCCTCCTCCTCCTCCTCCTCCTCCTCCTCCTCCTCCTCCTCCTCCTGCTCCTCCCCCCTGCTCCTCCTCCTCCCCCTCCTCCTCCTCCTCCTCCCCCTCCTCCTCCTCCTCCCCCTCGCGGCCATAACGGGCGTTATGGCAGGGGGCAAAGGGGGGGGCAGGAGAGGGCATAAAGCAGCAGCCCCTCCCCTGACTGTGGTGCCGAACGCACTGCGGCAGTGCCGGGGGCGCACTGAGGGTGGGAGCGTTACGCTAGGGGGGGGGGAGGGGGGGGAGGGGGCATACAGTGCGGGCGCGGCCGCAAGAAACGCAACCCTGAGAACCCGTGCGCGAGGTGCACCTGAGGGGAGACCTGGAGCACCCTGAACGCAGCAGCTCCTTCAACGGCTGCGGAAGTCACCGCGCAGCGCGAAAGGCGAAGAAACCCAGGATCCCCTGACGAAAAGCACATAGATTCTTGATGCGCGCCCCCACTGTATCAAGCGGTATGACCCAGCGGAAAAAAACTCTCTGCGATCCAGAAAGAGATGAGCGAACGCCACCGACAAGGCGGCCCTTCGCGGAAAGCCTCGGCGCTCCGTGGGCAACGCGCGTGATTGACGCTGCCTGCGGCGAAGGAAGAATCTGAACTTCGAGGCGGATCCGGCCGTGGCCACGAGCGACCCCGAGGATCGGGGAGACGTGAGACTCGCATCAAGGGGCTCGGGACTGGGCCTGCCAGACCCGTCAAGAAATCGAGGAAACCCAATTTGAAATTGGACTCAACTCCAGCTGCAAACATCCCCGACAGGAGGCCCGAGAGGGCGAAAGGGCAGCGGGGCCCCGTACCCCTTGTACTCCTCCGAGCCATGCTTGGAACTGCTCTGGCCATTGCCCCACCTCTGACGCCTCTGCCCGGCCAGGGGGGCACCGTCCGTGCACTTGTCGCCCTCGGGGTGCCCCTCGTGCTGGAGAAGCGAGTCGTCCTGCGGCCGTCAAGGGGCGCACGAGCCTCCTTCCGTCCCCTGCCTGCTGACGACACTGAGAGGGTGAGCTCCTCCTCCTCCTCCTCCTCCTCCTCCTCCTCCTCCTCCTTATCCTCCAACGTTTCTCCGAGTTGTTCAATATTCGAGGGGGGGGATCCCAGGGAAGGACACCTAGGAATGGGTTGTCCTTCGCGGGACGTGGAAGGGAGGGATGACTGGAGGGGGTGGGATCGATGGGCGTGTGGGGGGGGGGGGCAGGAGGGAGGAGGGAGAAGTGAGAAGGGAGGAAGGAGGAGGAAGGAGGAGGAAGGAGGGAGGAGGGAAATGGGGGGATGCTTACCTGTCGGTCGGAAAAAAATAAAAAGGCGTCGGAAGCAGGTTGGGCTTCCGCCCGCCACCTGAAGAGGAAGGAAGTAGGACAACCACTCGATCACTGAAGTAGGAAGGCGCCTAAAGCAGATTGGGATCTGGGACCTTTGATATGCCTCCTTCCAAAGACCGACGTCTGGCACAGGTCTGTTTGCCCAGCGCTCTTTTGGAGGAGGAGGAGGAGGAGGAGGAGGAGGAGGAGGAGGAGGCGGAGGCGAAGACAAACGGCGCGCCGGCCAGACCCCTGGTCAGCCTCGGGGAGCCGGCCGAGCACTCCTGCATCGGGGCCGTGCCATCGCCCTGACTGTCACTGGGACTGGTGCCACCGCCATCTGTCGGGGGCGGCCGAGAGGGGGGCGTAAAAGAGGGGGGGGGGCGCAAATCATGGCTGGCGGCGCGTGCGCGGCCCAGGAGGGGGGCCGGGGACGTCTTGAAACAAGACGCAGCGCATGACATCTGGGGACATCGCATGATCCCCGCCATGATTTTCCACCCCACCCGAGTCCTCACCCCCCTGTTTGCCGACCCCGAATCTGGAAGGAAGCAAGGGAGTCGGCAGGCAAACCGGTTTCAGGACTATCCTCGTCCGTTCCCCCCGGGGAGGAGCGCAGGGGGGGGGCCGGCTCAGGTGGGAGGAGGAACATCGAGCTGGAATCGGAGAAGCATCGCCAATATTTCCAACAGGCTCCCAGTAGCAGACAGGAGCGCTCCCGAGAGGGATGGGCGATCGGTCCTCGAGCGGCGATCAGTGGGCGAGTGGGGGTCGATGCATCCTCCTCTGGGCTCCCCCCCTGCCCCAGCGAAGCTGCGAGGTAGCCGGGAGCATGGCGACCCCAAGGGCCGACTTCGTGAGGTTTGGGACCAACTCAGGGATATGCGATGGGGTGGCATCAGTTGTCGATAGCGGTGCGTCTGAATGGCTCCCATGGCGGCATATCCCTGATATTCCCCCTTCTCTGAGCGCCCGGATGTTTCAGGCGGAAGTCGGAGACTGGGGGCGACAATCGCCTGCGAAAAAGTGCACCACGGAGCGAAAACTTCAAGAACCAACGTGGGAGTGAAGAAAGCACAAAGGAGGGGGTGGAGCAAGAGAGAGGGATCAAGCTGAGGAGCCCGAGAAGGGATGCCACCACGACGAGGGAGGTGCGAATGTGACGTTTCCTGCCAAGTTGCCCGACCACTAGGCTCGGGTTCCACAGCTGCGTCGGCGAAGGCCTGCCCACATAATGGTTGGAGTTTCAATATAGATGCAAATTTGCCGCGCATCTGCATGATTGACAGTGCATTGATAGGGGAGTGGGGGGACTGGCAAGGTTAGATCGCCCCTTCGCAAACCCAAAGACACTCTCACAAAACAACGGGGTGGCCATGCGGGGGGACACAGGCTACGGAGAGCACGCGTGAATTAGTGAAACAATGAATTGGTCGTTCAGTTCTGGGGCGGGCACTGAAAAAAACGATCGACCTCAAAATCCTTGCCGCGCCGCCCCCCAGCAGCACGAAGCTTCCCCACCGAGACGGACCCAGAGAAACCCAGGAGGCCCCCGGGAGACCTCGAGAGGCTCCCAGAACCTGCAGGTGAGGGGCGACGATAGGGGGGGACTGTCATAGGAAAGGACGCGTCGACCTGGAATCGGCGACACATCGCCGACACATCGGCGATAGGCCCCATATAGAGAACCCGCACCTTCCTGTGCAGGTTGGGGCTATCGGGCCCTTACCGGCGATCAGTGGGCGATTGGGCGTCGACGCCTCCCCCCCTCCGATGGACTCAAAATATGGTTATATTTAACGACGCTGGTTGCTTTCGTTTTTATTGCCATGAAACGGGCATGCGATCGGGTTAAGAAGGGCAACTGTTTTCGGATGCAACGACAAACAGTAAGAACGCACGCGGGCAAGTTGTGAAGGAAGGGTGATACCTACATCGCAGATGCTGGGCGCTTGCGAGTAACCTTTCTGCTTGAGGGCAGCAGGGCCTGGCCTAATGATTCGTTCGTTGCACAGCATGATTCATACGGGGCACGAAACTAAGAGGTGCCCCTGTTAAAAGAAAATTGGAGAACTGAGCGAATATATCGTGCTACGCAAAAGAATGCGACTGGTCACGCTGGCACTTTGATAAGAAGCCTATGAAAAGCTTTGCCAACTTCGCCGCAGCAGCAATGCACAGAGCGTGTCGTTGTGATTGCCACATGACGTTCCTGTACAAAGCCTTCAGCAGGTTGTGGAACGCTTCGTTGCGAACGGTTCCAAATATGACGTCACGGTTTGGGTCTATAGCGACGTACTTGCAGAACAACTGAATGTATCCCAGCTCCTGCGCCGTGGTCGCGTATTCCAAACTGCTGAGCACCGTAGTACGCTTAGCTGTTTTGCGATGCGTCATGTTTGGGTGTGTTGAGCAGGTCGCTGCCAGGCCCTGGATGAAGTCGTACATGAGATCGTACGGCTTCTCCACGTAGCTGCTGCTGTTTTGGATGCGGTGGTACAAGCGTTTCGCATCTGATGGCCTCATAGCAGCAATTGCGCCCACCAGTTCGGAAGGCCCCGTGCGACCATCACTACATTGAAAATAACGAGATCTGCCAAATCCCCCGAAGCGAAGTTTAGCAATGCATGTACGAACGCTGGGAAAGAATGCCGTCGTCCTTTCATTGGATGCTTGCTCGACCTTGAAGGCAATGTGCAGCAGGTCTTTGCTGACGCATTACAGGTTAGGAAACGCGGCGCGCAACTGGCTGCATTTGTCTAAGAACGCAGGAAAGTCGGAGCAAATCATCTGCACCTCCTCCGCATCCTCTCTGCGAACAGAATTCCGATGAGCGCGCACCTGCTGGACCGGGTCTTCCGAACTGGAACCGAAAATCGGCGCGCGAAATTGACCCAAGCCCTTGCGGAAGGTCTTGAAGCTGGGCCAGCCGTCGATGCAGACGAAGATGCGGTCAACATGTTGATTTTAATTGAAACAATATCAAACACGCAAACGGCTTTTTTTAACTTACGATGAATGAAAATGCATTTTTTCAGAAAACACGCGCCACTCAGCGCAATCTTATCAGGATGCCACGTCTTTCGAAATATAGAAGATTAGTAGACGTGACGGCACCCGTTTGCAGCAAACCTGTTAAGCTTTTCGCATTTCGGAACGTTTGCACGCCGTCCTGGCCCGCTGCCACTCGATTGCTCTGACGGATGCTGAGCCTGCGCCACGCCAGGTCTGGCGGCAAGGCAGCGCCAAGGCCAACGTCAGCAACGAACGCCCACTCGAGCGCCATTGCTGGTCGCCCGCGCACGTATGTGAATGGACACAGGTAGCAATAATGAAGCACCCTGTCGATAGGGATGTTTGAGCCGATAACGATCTGCGAAGCCATTCGTCACCCGCGGTGTCCTGCGAATTACTTTGCTGTTTTGTGGTGTCCTGTGTTGTCCTATGGTGTCTTGTGCTGTCCTGTGGCGTCCTGAGGTTTGCTGCAGTGTCCTGCGGTGTCCTGTGGTATCCTGTGGTATCCTGTGGTGTCCTTTGGTTTCCTGTAGTGTGCTGCGGTGTCCTGTGGTGTCCTGTGGTGTCCTGTGTTGTCCTGCGGTGGCAGAAGCATAAGTAGAAGGCAGAATCAGGATTTGAGGAGAAGGAGGAAGTGGAGATGAGGCAAGGAGAGGATAGGAAGGATGAGGAAGAGGAGGAGGAGGGGGAGGACAGACAATGAAAACTCACTCTACATTCCCCTCCTCCTGCTGCTGATCCTCCTCCTCCTCCTCCTCCTCCTCCTCCTCCTCCTCCTCCTCCTCCTCCGGGAAGGCCTCCGAAGGCCTCGCCAGCCCCCGAGGCCCTGCGGAGGCCCTGCGGAGGCCCTGCGGAAGCCCTGCGGAGGCCCTCGGGAGGCCATCCGGAGGCCTCCGAGGCCGCCGGCACGGAGGAAGAGGAGGTAAAGTGGAGGGGGAGGAGAAGGGGGAGGACAGGGAGGAGGGAGGATGGAGGAGAAGGAGGTCCTCCTCCTCCTCGTCCTCCCCCTCCTCCTCCTCCTCCTCCTCCTCTTCTTCTTTTTCTTCTGCTTATTATTCTTCTTCTTATTCTTATTATCATTCTTCATATTCTTATTATTAATATTATTATGAGTATTCTTCTTATTGGTAGTATTATTATTATTCTTATTATTATTATTATTTTCCTTTTTCCTCCTCCTCCTCCTCCTCCTCCTCCTCCTCCTCCTTCTCCTCCTCCTCATTCATTCATTCATCATGAGGCGGACGGTTCGAAGCCTATACAGAGAAGAGAACGAGATGAAATGGACAAAGGAAGTAGAGCACGTACTCGCAGTGGAGTGATGCTGATCCAAAGCAAACCTGGGGTACTGCCTATGGCGCACGAGCCAAGACAAAGGAAGTGCAGAGAGAAAGCAAGGCAAAGCAGAGACCTTCGCCCAGGTTGCGCGGTACTGCCTATGGCGCGCCACACTGCTTAGTGTGACACCTTCGCATTACTATTTTTAAAGTGAATGGACACTGGCACTGACCAGCTAGGTCAGGGCATCGCCTTCATGCGAAGGCCCTTCCCGCAATTGAGCAACAGTCAGTGAGGAAGGGAGGTCTGTCTGAAAAGGGTCCTCCACTGGTATTCGTACCGCTGGGTGGCCGTCGATGCGTGGCCTGCCCG